ATATATATCTATTTAGCGCGCGAGGCTGTGTATCGGAAATTCTAAAGATATGCTCTTTTAAATATGATATGATATTGCTGTTGAATTGAATTTTATGGTTTAAGCGCGAAGAACATGATAACTTAATAAATGTAATTCAAAATGATTACAGATTCAAAATGATTCAAAATGAGTACAGATTCAAAATGTCCGAAACCGTAGCGTGAGGATTTCAGACTTCTTTTAACACTCAAAACTTAAATAAACGCCCCTTCTGGCATAATTTAAAATCTGAAAGCCTTCAGATTAAAAAAAAAAAAAAAATTAAAATTGGATACAGGAGGGAAAAAAGGGAGGTATATCTATCTAACATGAGAAATATTTTTGTGATGGGCTTTCAGGCCATAATCCATAAAAATGAATTGCCATAATTGCGGAAACAAACTAGAATCTTGATCAGAATTGAAATTCGAGATTTTTTATGCTTGTGCAGCGTTTCTCAAATGTTTTCCAACTGCATACCATCTTACTCTTGTCTCCTTCGTAAAAAACTGAACTAAATGTTACTATTCCCATAAATGACGTGCATAAGCCTGCCTATTGTTCAGCAACTCTTGTACTTTGGATGTATGCTGGTAGTGAGAGATTCTACACATAAATCAAGTCGATTTCGGTCTTTTGTTTTTTGAGTTAGTGATGAAAATTCTTTCTTGCACAGATACGTAGAAGCAAATTGAATTATAATTTTCAAAGCACCATCACTGTATTCCGTTTTCGCTGGTGATGAGATCCAGTAATCATGACTCCTGCTTGAAATTTCATTTTATATCATTAGAGATTTCAGTTAACTGTTCCCTTTCATTCAGTGATAGTGTATTTTCAAAGTCGCTGTGGGAAAGATAAGGAACACAAGAAAACTTAGATTTACCACTTGGAATGTAAGCTTCAAGTTGTAACCTCTACGGTTTGAAATAGTGAGAAAATTCTCTCTTTTACACAACTCACAAATCGAGTTTGTTCTCAAACCCTTTAATTTTTCATAGGCACTGAGAACATTCAAATAATTACCATTAAACAGCGATTTAGTTCATTTCCTTTTGAGAACGTACTTAGCCACTTATCATCAGCAAGGAATGATGTAAAATCCTGTTAATTTGCTTTACAAATAACAGTACATTTTTTCAAATCTAGGGGGATGGGCCTATGCAGGTTTCGGCGGTCCGCAGAGAACATTTTGAGAAACGCTGCTTTAAATAAAGTATATAATTTAAAAACTCAGTAAAAATTTTAAAGTAAGTAAACTCACTTAAGTTTTTGAATACTAAATGCGGACCTTGCAGTTTCTGAAATATGCTACACAATGCTACGATTTTTGAAATATTTTATTCCAAAGGGAAACTCTTTAAAATAAACTACTACTACGTTTTTAAAAGTGATATTTCAGTATTTTAGGTCGACTTTTTCTACTTAATGGTCACAAAAATTGGGAATCATTCGCACCTTGTTAACAATGTCAGTAATTACTAACAGCAAAGACCTAATAAATTTAGTTATAATATTGCAACAAACGAAGAAACACAGATTCAAAATGTCCAAAACCGTAGCGTGAGGATTTCAGACTTCTTTTTTTATTGGATGAAATTGCATAAACAGATCAGAAAAACGTAAAATGTATGAAACGTATTCCAAATGAGCGCTAAACATTAAAAGGTGTTTATGCGTTTCGTCTATCAGTGGCCGAATGAGTAAGACCCAGGCTCAGCGTAATCATTTCGTGGATCTTGGATTAGTTTCGCGGATAACCTCCATGGGCCAAGATGTGTGCCAACCATCCTAAACGTTCGCCAGCTTCCCAGTAACAACCCATCACACGATCTATGAGCAACAAAAGAGCATCGACTGCAAACATGTTAAGTTCCATGAAACTCCATACAATTGTCATAGAATGCAATGCTTGCACCCCACTGTCACAACTACTGCAAACTATGTAAACTGTAACTATGCGAACTGTGCTACTTCAAACTGTGCGTACTGTGCAAACTATCTGTGTTTACCGAAACCACGAACTGTGCAAATGCGCAAACTGCGAAACTGTAGAGTGTGTAAATGTGCATCCTCCTGTATTACAAATCGCCGCCACTTACATCAGTGCAACGGCAGCCAGCTGCACCCTCCTGTTAGTCAAAATTCTCTCAACGATCTGTGAATTGCGACGTTCGCAAACAGAGGCCTCAAGCAACTGTAAACTATGTGCAAATTATGAACAACGCGAGCAAACCGCGAATTATATGCTCAAACTATACACGTGTACAAACTGTTTACCTATGTGGAACTACGTAACCGTGGACAACCTTGTGCGCAAACACTTGTGTAATCTATGCCATACGAACACCTAGCACAGAGCTAAACATCTTCCGCACCGCATCCCAATTGAGGTCATTATCCTAGGAGCTTATCTCAACACATGCCTTAATTATATTTCTATATATGTTTTAATTCTTGCTCTTTTCTATGTTCTTTTGTTTTTAATATTCTGCAACCTTTTTGTTTCCTTACCATATCTGTTCAGTCAAAGCCTCTCCAAATCTGTAAAACAAAGCACAAGTCCCTTGTTTGAATGGGATGAAATGGCGAATCATCGGCAGTTTAGAAGCAGGATGGACAATCATGGAAGGAGTAAGGTGTGTAAATATTTCAGGGCAGAATGTTACGGAAGGCAGACGCTATGGAAACAATTTCAGAACCTTGGAAGTATTATAAGGAGGCATGGACATGATCGTAAACGAATAACAATTGCTTTTCAAAATCGATATGTGGCAATAACTGCCAATCGGAACAAGACGTCTTCTGCTCGGCAGCAAAGAACAACAGAATGGGAGTGAATACCAATGGTTTCATTTTCTTTTTACTGATGAGTCGAGGTTTAGTTCAGAGTTCTCTTTTAAATGTGCTTACCTCTGGAGGGAGTCACGAATGCAAAATATTTCTTCGAACGTAATGGAACGTGACCATTTTGGTGATAGAGGTGTGATGGTATGTGGAGAAAAATGATTGCTAGACATAAGCCCATACAGGTTTTATGGGACTGGTTAAAGATACCAGGATGAGGTCTTAAAAATCTTATGTATGATTTCTCGAGAAGAGTTTGGGTACATGGATCTGATTTTACATGGATCTGATTTTTTATTAATGGAAGATAATGTTCATTCACGTCGAACAACCTCTTAGATGAATTTTTTTGAAAGGGAAGACATTGAGCGAATAACTTGACCAGCAAAAATCTCCTGATCTGAAACTGATAGAAAACTTATATGTAATTACCATGGAAAAGAGGTGGAGGCCTTCTTCTGCTAGACATGTAGATGTCCTGAAGACCACGTTGCTGGAGGAGTGGAACTGAATTCCCCAAACTGGTTAACAACGGTATTTGCCAGCATGAAAACACATTGCGATATGTGTGTACAAGTCAGGGGAGACCACATTCATATTAAATTCATAAACCGTAATTTTTTTTGTGAATTCTTCTTCTTTTTTTCCGAAATTTTCTTCTAACATATTATTATAATTTTTGTTTCATGCTAAAGCTCCGTTGTACTTACGTATTACAATGTTATGTATCATTTTGCACAAATTCATAAAATTACAATTCAGTGTCTGAGAAATCGGTGATTTCGTACATGTAAAGATAATTTTGGGCATGAGTTTATATTTTGAAACAACACACGAAGAATATTGGTTTTGAATGACGTTGTAATATTTTGAATTTATTTTGTTGAATGAAGATCCTTTTTCTAGATGTGACATTTTTTTAAGTATGCCCTGTGTTTGCCTCTTCAGGGTACAGTCTGGTCTGAGTTCCTATTTTTTTTTGAACAATAGTTTTTGTCCGCGTAGGGTTATCATCTAGTGGATGATTTTCTGGAAAGTAAGACCATTAATCGGATGACCAGCCAGGTCTCTAGGAAACAAAAACTCTGTAGAACATGTCTGGGACGTTTTTGGGAGGGCAACTACAATTCGCCTTTTCCTCCCAGTACCTTCAGAGTCCTGAAAATAGCGTTTCTGTAGCAGTGGGATTGAGTACCATTGGCATTAATAAACGGCTTCATTTCTAATATGAAATCACATTGGGAGAGCTTATACGACTGCTAAGAAGGAACCATAACCCACTATCAGCCTAGACTTTCCCTAAGCCGATAAGCCTTACCTCAAGATTGTGCATCTGTACTATGACCGTTGCATGTATATTATTTTATATTATATCAGTCAATGTCCCTACCAATTTCCTTAAAATATGTTAGTACTGGAGAAAATTGACAAAATATGACAATCCTCCCTTAATTTTGAACATTAGTGTAATTTATTTATGGCATGATTGTAAGGTATAAATTTAAAATAACTAATTTATTGCTGCGTTTAGACAAATGTACCATATGATATGGTTTTCGATATTATTTTTTTAATTTCTAATTTAGTAACGAAATAAGGAGAGCATTAAAACCCTCTAAGCGGCAAGACCGTATATATACGGCCTGGAATATTTTTTGTGATATCTGTAAGAACGTATATATACGTGCATATTAAAATATGTCAAAGAAATTAAGACAATATATCAAAAGTACACAAGTTCAGGTATGTAATACCAGGAGAGGTTTTACATTAAAATCAAAAAAATAATTTGTTCTCATAGCAGTTTTGGGAAATTTGTGCTTTCTTAGTGAAAAACCCTGGCCGCTCAGAGAGTTAAATTAAATGAGAAAAACTGAATGGATGTATGTTCGGGAATGTAGAAGGCATGTGAGAGACTAGGAGAATTATTTTTAGGTAGGTTAGTGTGAAATTTTAGACAGTAGTACTAAATTAGTGTTTTGAAATTAAGGTTTTAGATTTTAAACATTTTCCTTAATGATTGTTATTTTATTTTTATATTTTTACATACATATAACATTCGTTATTACTTTTGTAGCTCTTGCTGCGCCATTTATACTATTTAACGAAAACCATTAAACTTGATCTTGCAGGTTTTTACTTTTGAAGCTGCATGTGTTTTTGAACACAGAGTGATTCAAATAGCTGACTCCTGATGATATGACCATTCTGAAATATAGTTTGTGTCACAGAATAAATTTGAAGTAGTGTCCAGTGAGTATTAGATACTGTTCCACATTTGATTCATTAACAGGAAGTTTTTTTAATTCTCTTGCCGGTATAGGGCAACTTTGACGACTAAAAGAAGATTTTTTCTCAAATAATTAGCAGTTTTCATTTTATCTACAATTCATGACGAAAAAATAAAATAAAAAAAAATAAATAAAACGGTCCAGTACTTAAATCGTAGCCATCTAAATGATTTTACCTCAACGAGAACACTATCATGGCAATCACCTCTTAAGGTCACCAGTATTTCTATGAACCTAACTATAAATAGGCTGATAATTATAATATTTTATAATACATTTTTATTATAAGAAACTAAACTCAGTGACCTAACAGCCTTACTGGGCCAGGGCCTGCGTGCCCGAAAATCTGCTTTCTTGACCTGGGCCCCGGGGTCTTGGACACCGGACACCATATGTCTTGAACAAGTGGTTAACTTGTCGCAAGACCCCCAGTGTTTAGTCCCCAAGCGTACTTGGTACTCATTTTATCGACCCAAATGATGGAAATCAAGGTATGAATGGCTGAGTCGACCTTGCCCAGCCAGGGAATCGAACCCCGGACCTGTGGTGCTGCTGCGCGATGTGCTAGCCACTGCACCACCGGGCCTCATAAACTGTTCTTAAACATTTAAAATTTCATAGGGTAGTGTGTTTTATCTTATAGGTTCATTTATGACACAATCTGTTTTAAGTGTCCTAACGCATGGACAATGAATGTATACATTTTGGGTTATTATTTAAATGTCCAGATCTTTTTCTAAATGTTCATATTTCTGAAGTTTAAACGTTTCAAAACGTAAAGTTCATTAACGTTTTAAAGTTGTACAGCTATTAGGTTATTTTGAAGCAGGAGACGTGAAAAATAAGCAATGCCCCGCCGGGACTCGGACCTTGACCTCTCGAATACGCGCCGAGTGTGTTAACCATTACACCACGGAGGCGTACAGAATGGAGGGAGCCTTTTAATGAACGATTGGGGATTAAGGAACCCAAACACCAAATCCTGATGGTGAAAAATCATCATCCGCAGCCTTTTAGTTCGGGCGCTACTGTAGATTTATTAGGTTTATTTTAAAGCAGAAGTACATGAAAAATGTGCAATGTCTCCGTCTGGACTTGAACCTCTCGAATGCGCGCTGAGTGTGCTACTGTTACACTAAGAAGGCATGCTAGAAAATACCTTACCTTTTGAGGCGACCCCAAACAAGATCATAAGGTCTGTTTTAGACCAGGTGGATCGGGTCGTATTCCTCTCATTTGTAACCTTATATACTGCCTCTTTTAAAGAGCGACTGAGGATTAGGGAACCCAATCGCGAAATCATGGTGGTAAAGAGTCATCATCCACAGCTTTTTAGTTCGGGCGCCACTGTACAGTCATTATTTAGAAGCAGGAGTCGTGAAAAATGAGCAGTGCTCCCACCGGGTCTCAAACCTGGACCTCTCCAATATGCCCCGAGTGTGCTAACCATTACACCACGAAAGCATGCAGACAGGAGGTAGAAAATACGTTATAAAGTAGTAGTCTGGTGCTTGTTAGGCGTTCAAACCGACCTTACAAAGTAAAGAAAATACGTATTTTCTAATCAGGCACTTTAAAAGGATGCACTTAGTTATGTATTTCTCGAAAACCAACAAATGTTTATCTATAAATTGCGCCCGGATTCAGAAAGTAATCCCCTTATATTTAGTGGAGATATTTAAAGTTTTTGGGGGCTCTTACTCAACAAATAAAAAATAAATTATAATCTTAATAATTAATTAACTTTTTCTATTCATTATTGAATTGCTCATTGTAAGTACTAATTCATAACATTAAAGTGTAATAAAACCCAAAGTCAAATAGGTTCACTTCAATGACAGTCAGTAATTCTATGCTGTAATAGATTTCATGCTGGTATATGTAATTTTCTTACAAAGTGCATTAAACGTTGAAAAAGGGGGCATTTTAAGGAAGACAGAAGAAGAAGGGGTTCATCACTTAAAAAAATTACATTTTTAAAGAATTAAACATTAGTGGCATATATTCAGTTCGTTTCAACAGTTTAGCACTTTCTTTTGGCCACAGTGACGGACCGGTAAAGCCTCACAACACTAGTAATTCGATCGGGATCAAATCACAATGAACGCACTAGCGCATTTGCGTTTTCATGGTTTTGTCGATGTGTAACGTGGTTCCAAGGCAGTTTCCCTTAGAAATTTCTCCACGAAGGCATCCTCTCCTTAGGCAGATAGCACCCGTGTACTTTGCCGCAGTCAAATAAATCACCCCAAATCTTTTCTTTTAATTTTATTTTAGATTCAACTTTCTTTCGACATATCTGAACACTTGAGTCCCACCTCACAAATTCTTAATTTATCTGTTTTGTGAAGCGCTGTCTCAATTCTATTTTCAGGTACAAATTATATAATCTATAATGCTTTTTGCCATCTCTCGTGCACTAAACTTTGGTGACAGAAAATATTGTGGTAATCAGTGTAGGAATAATTCAGAAGAAAGTAATTCTCATGGTGAGGTAAATTTGAGGATTACCAGAGAAGAAAGTAATTGTATGTTTTATCATTAAAGAAAATAACAATCTATTGCACCAGTATTAAAAATCGATCATTGTACCGTCAAAATATTAAAAATCGATCATTGTACCGTCAAAATATTAAAAATCGATCATTACCGTCAAAATATTAAAAATCGATCATTGTACTGTCAAAATATTAAAAATCAAAATTTGTTTTTCAAAAAATTTCAAATCAAAAATCAAAAATTATTAAAAAACAATCATTGTACCGTCAAAGTATTAAAAATCAAAAATTTTTTTCCTGGGCTTCGTTTCTATAAATAGCTGTCAAAACTTTTCATAGTGATTTTTTTTTTTTACTCATGCAAACATTTATCTAGACATTTTCTGTTAATAAGAATTCTGAAGACAGGCTTCATTGCTGATTAAACGGATAATCGGGTGTTTGTGTAAATTATTAAAAGTTCAGTAATCCCTTTTATCCAAGCGAAAGGTATATAGTACAAAGTCCGAAATCCGGACGTCCATTATCCGGAATCATCTAAAATCCGGACCTCAAAACCACCAACAAAATTTTTCTCGTAGGCTTTACGCATGCGCATTTGATTTCCACCTCCGCGCATAATAAAACATCTGGAGAGTCCCGATTCTTAATTTCACTTCGACATTAAATAAAATACCTTGTTATTGAAGAAACAATCATTTTAGCATAAATTTGTCCGATCAGTAATTTGGCTCCGTTGTTCCGCGTTTGCTTGGCACGCATCTCAAACCGAAACATTAAACAGATACATCGTTGATCTGACGCCAACCTGGCGAATCATTATTTATTGTACTTTCTCTTTCATTACGACATGTTTATCAAAGCATGACAACTTGAGTAATGACTCATGTAGCGATACCTAAACATTTTTTTATGTTAATATTTGAATAATAAAGGAGTGTGGTAACCTTTTATGTTGACATTACGCTTGGCGATGATTACAGATTTCAGTTGCGTTAAAAAATGTTGATGAGGAAAAATTTACCAAAACTTTCTTTCCATATGCTAAAAATAGATTTTGTTGATGATACTCATAGACCCAAAGATTACATTTAGATCATAAATACTTCCATTATTTCATAAATCGCGATTTCATATTTTTAATTTTATAATTTCTACATGCCATCTTACTAGTTTTAAACTGATGATCTATTATCCGGAAAAATCCCAAATTCGAAATCACCGAAGTCCCGACGAGTCCGGATTTCGGACTTTGTACTGTATAAATTATTAATTTTTGTAATCAGCAAAATATCTGTTTTGTAAGCTTTTAAGCGACAAATTGAGTTTTAAAAGTGTCTGACATGTCGCTTCCCATAAATGATTCATTCTTCATACATAAATGAATTATTTATTCTACGTTTTCTATATCCTATTTGTGCACACTGATATGATAAAATACAACTAATAAGAATAGGATAATTAATTATATTTACGATGTTAAATGAGAGGAACCTTTGTTACTGCTTTCATAAAAATCACTCGACATTCATCCGGCTTGATACTAGTATAAAAGCTAAAGGGTAACGTTCATGTTGTGTGTCAGTTCTTTATGTTCCATTTCCAGCTTTTCAACATCAAACTCTGAAAAATCGTCCCATTTCAGCCTCTCTCGATCGGGTAGGTAACAAACGTTCTCATTTCAGCCTTTTCATTCAGTGAATGAATATTTCAATATCACAAAGCGATGAGGGCTATGTTCCTAAGAAGAATGCCTTCGTGGAGTATTTTTTGAGTGAAACTGTTTCTTAGTCATGCTACACATGGGAAAAGCCATTTAAACCAACTATGTAACCAGCCATTTCAAGTGAAATCGAACCCAAAGCCGGTCGAACAACCAGTGTTCAGCTACTTTAAATTGTGGTGACCGTGATGACGAAAGTCACTTGACTGTAGAATTCTTATGAAATAATCCTCCGCCACTTTGTGTTCAAATAATGACGCTTCTCTCCTTAAGCATTGTGTACGGTGTACTAGAAGAATTTTTTTAACGCTATTTTAGTATCCGGTACTTTGCATTCAGATAATGTTTAGACGCAATAATAATATCACACTAATTGTGATATCTAATATAACGAACATGAAAATACTTTTTCTTTGATTACAATTCTGTGGTGCTATCTTGATATATGTTTCGGTTTCTAAACCATAACTGAGGCTGAAAAATCTGAGAATTGTACCCTTTTAATGAAAGCGTAAAACAAGAACTTTTCAGGATTGGATAAGTGATGCTGCTATCAAGTTTGTAATAAAAAAGTTATAATTTTACTGACTTATTTTTGAAAATGTGCGTTTCTCATGGAGGAGAAAATTGAAGCCGTTTAGAGAGGTAAGGATTTTTAACGACCATTTGAAAACAGAGTAGTTATATGGTATTCAAGTAGAAGATATACCTTTCTTTTCCAGTTTAGTTTCTCTGACCTTAAAAAGCCCTTTTTTCGATTTCCCTTGTTTCCTCCACAAAGTTTTGCAAAATTTCTTAAAGCTTGTAACTTTTATGTTTTATTTATTTATTTATTTATTTATTTTGGCTTCTAAATCATGCAGTTATAAGAGTGTTTTTCTCGCTAATAAACTTTCAACGGCCTAGAAGCAAAATATATTTAACATAGAGTGGGAAAGTGTCTTCAATCTACTACGCACACAGTACAACTTCGAAATGTGCTTTCTTAATGAGAATTCGAGCCCGAAGACGCAGGTAAACATGTTCACTAATTCCAGGCGCCTGGGCGGAAAGCATTCTGAATGTAACATCGTAAAAGGTACCATATCTTTTCCTGTAGCGAACATGTTGAAGAAAGAAGAACAGTGAGAAAGACTAAACCTAATCTCGATGCTTTGAGCTTAGAAAGGTCTCCGATCGCGAAGTTACCCCCAGCTAAATACTAGTGGTGTAAAAGCAGTGGAGAACTATTGTAACAGCTAGCAACTGTAGATAAACGATAAGCAATAATGATGTAGAAAGATAAACAGTTAATGGTTGGTAGAGACAATACTGAATTGAAAGCTGTGTCGCTGCTGCATCACAGTTGACAGCTGGGAGCAGAGTCTGAACACCGGTGCTGCTTAGACTATTTGGGTCTAGTCCGAATTCCGCAACTATCCGGGGAACATCTTGTGGGCCCCACAAGGTCATACATTGATCCTGTTTCATGCATAGCTCACAATACATGCTTACATAGTTCATAATATTTTCATTGTTCATAATACATACATATTTCATAATATAAACAGTACATACACAAAGTTAATCTCTACTAAAATTACAGGGAAAGCAAAAAACGAGAGAGAGGAGGAGCTGTAGGGGTTCAATAAATGTCTAAGCACTAGCTCGCTTTGGAAGTTCACTGTTTTTCTATGTTTTCCTTAGTTGACTAGGATCTATTCCGCACTGCACAAGTTTGTTCATTTTCTCCAGTTTCTGCATCATCTTGCATATTTTGATCTTTGATCAGAAACCCATACGAGATACTGCTTGTTCCGAAAGCTGCATGTGCCACTTTGCGGTTAGAGGGCATTGGGTCAATTAATGATCTGGCTTGCCCATGGCTCCACAGACATATTTATCGGTATTTGCGATTCGTCGTTCGTAGTAATAGGAGGGGAAGGGCCCGTGCAGCGTCACAAATCTCGTTTGTGGGGATGACTCAAGACGGTCGGGCGAGACTTTATTTTAACATTCCTAGGTCCTTCTGCTTTGTTGGGTAGTGTCCCACTCCCATTGCCACTGATGCTGAGCTGTTGTCCTTGTCACATGTTTTAAGGTGAGATCACGAGAATTGGTTATAACGCTTTGAGCATCGATATTGTGAGCTGTTTCTTTTGATAGCCTGTCTGCTTCCTCATTACCTTGAATGTCAGCGTGCGCCCTTATCCAAGAAATGATGGTTTTCGTTGTCGACAAACGCTTCTTCAGCATCTCCTGAATCTCCGCTATGATGGGAGAGGGATGTCTGAGATTTCGTAAGGCATATACGACCGACAGGTTGGTCTCTGCATCGCAGTAGGAAGCAGCGTGAAATCACTATCTAAAGTGAAGAAATTCAAAATGGAGACATGGAGTAGTGATGGCGAAGACGGAGCTTCTGCTCCGATCGGATTAGAGCTAATGGTGTAGCTGAAAGTAAAGTGCAATTTCATGCAGGTCAGGCATTGGGTAGGGGGCGGACTCAGAACCATAGAAATCTGGAATAGCAATGGATGAAATAGGTGGAGAAGGGGGATAATGAATATAGTAAAACTAAAAACGTTGAAACAAATTTAAGGAAATTAACAAATTTATCTCATACCGAGAGACTGAGTCTATAACGGAAAGCTGCAATACCAAAATAAGCCTTTCCCTGAGTTTGCGTCTCAAAACGTTAAAATGAAACTTGCTTTTTCTGGCATTGATTTTAATTCACCATTTGGAGAGTTAGAGCTCTACTTTAGTTACTGTAACTTGATGCTTGCTAATTGCTTGTTGCATATGGAGTGAGTAAACCTTCATGATTGTGCCTTTTGCATTGATATCGACTGTTAAAATAATCACGATTGGAAGACATTTACTTTAAGTGTCGACCTCAAGTCATTCCTTTGACAATGGAAAGCGTGTCAACATATCCTGAAAGTATAACCTTTTGAAGCTGTCAGCAATAATCCGTATCAAGAAGCCATAAGCTGAGGTGAACTTGCGGGTAAATCAAACATACAAGATTTTGTCAAGCACTTTCTAAGGAACATTTGCTTCTAATTCCTTTCTTACTGCAATTCTTAGAGCTTTACCTCACGTCGAGTAAGATTTAAATCAACAGAAGGTGATAATACCATTGTCATTGATAAAAGGCTCTGCTTATAAACAATAAACGAATTTGCACTTAGGTAAGTAATGCAAGATAACAGATTTTCTAACACCTAGGTAAGTAATTTTCTAACACCTAGGTTAAGTAATTTTCTAACATCTAGGTAAGTAATTTTCGGATAACAGATAAGAATGCAAGATTACAGCATTACTGTAATCAATTTTTTAAAAATTAATTACAGTAACGCTGCAAATGTTCAGAAAATTTATGCTTTGGATATATTTTGAACTGAATGCATTTTGAATACATCAAATAGATGTGTTCTTAAAATATTAGTTGTTAAAAAATGATTTTAAATTTTAAGGTTTATGAAGGAGTTGAAGAATGATTAAATTTCAAAGATAAAATTAAAGATCTTGCATGTTGCTAAATGACAACATTCTATGAACTGGTTACTTGCAAGGTCGCATGAAGAATAATTTAACGGTCTTATGTTTTAAGTAGTGGTGATACAAGTTTTGAGGATGGTAAATGCATGTCATTGTTATGTAAGACTAGGTATTTCTCTCGCCTTCTTCTCATGCCTTCGTGGTGCGGTGGTCTGCACACTCAGCGCGTAATTGAGAGGTCCGTGGTTCGATTCCCGGCGAAGGCGTTGCAAATTTGTCATTTCTCCTGCTTCCAAAATACCTAATGTCTCTTACAAGGCAAAGAACGTAGAGAACCAAAAATTTTGAAAGAGACTCCGTTAAATGTATTCTTAACGTTAAACTTATTAAATTACGGAGATAACTGAGATTTGTATGTTAACTATGTGCAGATTTTACTAAAAGATGTACATATTATTTCAGGTAACCTTTCATAAAGGAGCCAACACGGATTATCATTAGCTCAAGTATAGAAGTTGCTTATAACAGAATGAATCCGTCTTCTTTTATTGCATCGTCTCTAAATAGCTCCGAAGACCTGGCTTCTCAACTAATCAGTATCATTAACCTAACTGCAAATATCGTTAAATCGATACATGCATCTGAGAAAACAGAATACTATCAGGATCTGCTAAGCTTAAGTCTTCCTCAAAACCAGCTGTCTGGGAATTATAAATTGTCGAAAAGCAATGATAAGAAAGATCTAGGTTCCTTGAAGCTGAAGGATAAACCTGCCTTGTTGACTGAAAATAAAAATATTCTTTTGAATAAACTCTTAAGAAGTAACAATACTGACGAAAAAAGTGAAAAAATTAATATCGAAAAATCTGTCTGCTGTGAAAACAAAACATGCGAAGTATCACCCGTAATAATGAATGATACCAAATCATCGTTTCATTCACATTCAGAAATCGTTCCTAATGTTCAGAATATGAACCTGGAGTTATTAAACAAGAATAAAACTTCTTATAATTCAGAAAGTTTCAATCTTCCAAGCAAGGCTATGCTTTACAGTAATCAGTTAATTAAAGATTCTAGAAGTCATTTTGAAAATTCGTTACCAAATAGGCCAGTAGGTATCGCAGCTGATTGTGAAGATTCAGATTCTGATTCTATTGTTTTTATTTGCGAATCTTCTAACTCGTTTAATAATAAATTGCCTGATAACAATATGAATGCACAGAATGAAAATAATATTCAGTCTGAAGAGTTTAACAGGGCAAAACGTTTTAAGTATACAGAGCAAACTGATAAATCGGTTATAGATCCACATAAAATAACTGAGCATTTCCGTTCGAATGTAAATCAAAATGTCATACCTGAGGATGTTCTGAATTCGATTAGTTGTTTTAATGTTCACGCTAAAAATAGTATAGACAAGCTTCCTACATTATCAGAAGTCTTGAGTTACAACCATTCGGCTACAAAATATTCTGATACTGGAGATAAACACTCATACTCAGAAACTTTCAACCTTCCAAACAAAGACATGGTTTATAGTAATCAGTTAGTAAATAATTCTACAACTTCGCTACCAAATGTGCCAGTACATATTAAAGCTGATTGTGAAGATTCAAAATCTGATTCTTTTAGTTTTGCTTGCAAATCATCTAATTCATGTAGTAATAAATTGCCTGATAAAAGTATGAAAGCACAGTATGGAAATAATATTCAGGCTGAAGAAGATAACAGAGTAAAATGTTTGAAGTGTTCAGAGCAAACAAATAAATCGGTTATAAATGTGCATAAAATCGCTCGGAACTTCCGTTCGAAAATAAATGGAAATGTCGTACCTGAAGCTAATTTGAATTCAAGTACTTGTTTTAATGTTCATGCTAAAAATAGTACAGATAAGCTTCCTACATTATCAGAAGTCTTGAGTTACAACAACAATTTGGCTACAAAATATTGTGATACTGGAGATAAATTCTCATACTCAGAAACTTTCAATCTTCCAAGCAAAGACATGGTTTATAGTAATCAGTTAGTATATAATTCTACAAGTCATTTTAGAACTTCGCTACCAAATGTGCCAGTACATATTAAAGCTGATTGTGAAGATTCAAATTCTGATTCTTTTAGTTTTGTTTACAAATCATCAAATTCATGTAGTAATAAATTGTCTGATAAAAGTATGAATGCACAGTATGAAAATAATATTCAGGCTGAAGAAGATAACAGAGTAAAATGTTTGAAGTGTTCAGAGCAAACTGATAAATCGGTTATAAATGTGCATAAAATCGCTGAGAACTTCCGTTCGAATATAAATGGAAATGTATCTGAAGCTAATCTGAATTCAAGTACTTGTTTTAATGTTCATGCTAAAAATAGTACAGATAAGCTTCCTACATTATCAGAAGTCTTGAGTTACAACAATTTGGCTACAAAATATTGTGATACTGGAGATAAATTCTCATACTCAGAAACTTTCAATCTTCCAAGCAAAGACATGGTTTATAGTAATCAGTTAGTATATAATTCTACAAGTCATTTTAGAACTTCGCTACCAAATGTGCCAGTACATATTAAAGCTGATTGTGAAGATTCAAATTCTGATTCTTTTAGTTTTGTTTACAAATCATCTAATTCATGTAGTAATAAATTGCCTGATAAAAGTATGAATGCACAGTATGAAAATAATATTCAGGCTGAAGAAGATAACAGAGTAAAATGTTTGAAGTGTTCAGAGCTAACTGATAAATCGGTTATGAATGTGCATAAAATCGCTGAGAACTTCCGTTCGAAAATAAATGGAAATGCCGTACCTGAAGCTAATCTGAATTCAAGTACTTGTTTTAATGTTCATGCTAAAAATAGTATAGACAAGCTTCCTACATTATCAGAACTCTTGAGTTACAATCATTTGGCTACAAAGTATGCTGATATTGAAGATGCACTCTTATGTTCAGAATATTTCAATCTTCCAAGCAAGGGCATGCTTTACAGTAATCAGTTAATTAATGATTCTACAAGTCATTTTGAAAATTCACTGCCAAATGTGCCAGTATGTATTGAAGGTGATTGTGAAGAATCTGATTCTGATTCTGTTATTTTTGTTTATGAATCTAATAATAAATTGCCTGATAAAAATGTAAATGTACAGTATGAAAATAATATTCAGTCTCAAGACGATAACCGGGTAAAATGTTTTAAATCTGAAAAGCAAATTGATAAATCGGTTATAGATGCGCATAAAATTGCTGAGCATTTCCCTTCGAATATAAATCAAAATATTACACCTGAAGCTATTCATAATTGTTTTAATATTCATGATAATAATAGCATAGACAAGCTTCCTGCGTTTTCGGAAGTCTCAAGTTACAACCCTTTGGCTATAAAATATTCTGATACTGGACATAATTATTCATGCTCAGAAGCTTCTGTGCTTCAGGAAAATTGTGAAAGAGTTTCTGCTGCTGATATTGGCTTTATTCATAGTGAACTTGATACAATTAAACCATGTGAAGTAAACTGTTCTTCAGATGAAAGAATTCTAAATAAAAATATAGAACCAACTGAAATAACAGCTGTAGAGTTGCGCAAGATTATTGATATTGCTCAGAATCTTTTTTTTGAAAAAAAGTCGTTAGATATCCAAAGCACTAGTAATTATTCTTATGCTGGTACTGAGTATGTGGATAGAATGAGTTCAAGCAGTGTAGAGTTACCGTATAAAGATTGTAATTCAAAGTTTCCAGATACCGATGATAAAATCTTTCATTCAGAAATGTCTGTAAATCGACAAAATAACATAACTGAAGGGCAGTCTGTGATTTCGGATGTTACAGATATAATACAAACATCATATATTGAAAATCATATCGGCCTCCAGAACAAAATTCCTTTCAGCTGTCCTGACAATGGAACTGTTTATACAAGGATGGGTATGATTCAGAGAAGGGAAGATGGAGAAAATTCAAAGAAATGCTTATAGAGAAAAAGAAACATTGAAAAGTGCATCAGAATGGAAAAAGGTACAAAACGGGAACGCAGAAAGATTGATGTTCAATACCAAATCTAAAGGAAACTCAAAGTTGTATGAACATTCATTCAAAGAGCTTTCTTCTACACCTGAAAGTGCTTGTAATTTTGATGTTCAGAACGAAAAATGTGTCAAGTGTTGTTCTCATTTTATAAATTCCCTCAATAAAAAAACTATTTTTCATCTGCCTAAAAGCATGAAGAGATCTAAAAACGTGAAGAAGCCTAGCTCAGAAACAGTAGCCGTTCCATCCAATACCGAATCTAAGGAAGTAAAGATGAAAGGCAAGAAGTTAAATAAACGAAAAGGAAAATGCAGGACTCCTAAAATAACCATTTCTGACCAACCTTTGTTCACACCAGATAAAGTCTTAAAGTCTATTCCTAAAATGAATACCGATGAGACTACTAAAAATTCGGATGATTACAATACAAATCGTTGTTATGGCAAAAGAGTGACGAATCGTGGAAAATTTTTAACGGAGGAAATTGTTAATACACCACCTAAAATCAAACGAGGGCAACGCAGCAATATTTCTGCAAAAAGCGTATTTACAGCAAGAGTTGATGAATATCATGCAATGGCTCAATCGCCAGAAATCGAAATTGTTTCCAGAAGAATTTTGCCAGAAAGAAAGGTAGCTGGTAAATTTTCTAGATACTGAAAGAATTAGTACAATGTAAGCAACATTATGTATATATGCTTATCACAAAATTTTGTTTCTGCATTATAATATATTTAATTTAGACTTTCATTTGCAATTTTATTCTTTTACTTCTAGTGTCAGAATAGTTTTTTCATTAGTAAACTGGCATCATTTTCATTATCGTCAAAGTTTTTCTTGACACTAATGATAAAATTCGAATGCGATTTCAGAAGATTTATTCCTAAGTAATAAAATGTACTAAATGTCTTATATAATGATTTCTTTGTACCATTTATTCTTTGTAGTAACTTTTAACATAAAACTGTTAATAAAGCTGTTTTATATCATTGAAATTTCTTGCACCTTTCAATTTGCTCAATGGTGTTTCATCAATAGACATAGTAACTTAAACTTCTTGCATAGTCTGCTAATTAAATTTTAATGCTGAAACTGTATCTGCTCTTTATTCTCATCTAGTGTGACGTATTTATTTTATAAATGTAAAGAATGAGTATGAGACATATTATAAGCATAATCCTTCGTTAAGTAGATGTCAAGAAATAAACATATACTATTTGAAAGAAATCGGAATAATGTAATGCGCTGATGCAGAATTCTGAAATACAGTTTTTGTTAAATTTCAGGTATGGTTAGTGACTAGTCTGCATTTTCCAGCCATGTTTGCCCACTACAGCTTTTTATATCTATCGATAAATCTCGTATAAAAAGTCCGGAAAACTTCCTCTTAAATAATCAGAATCAAGATTTTCAATATTAATTTTTTTAAAAAAAAGTTCTGTATTTCCATTTTTGTCAATAAATTTCCAAATACAAGTTTATTTATTTATATGAGCTACACTGGGAGTAGGATCTACAAGAATGGAGTAATAAACTACATTTTGAATTTCAGAAATTAAATATTTTTGACTCCACTATCTTTTAAATTTATAAATTTATTACATATAATGTGTGATAAATAATTTACCTGTCCAGCACATTGGATTGCTAAATTTTTGTAAATGAATTTGCAGAATGCAGTAGCGTCTAGCAAAATGCTATTGCTTCTGCTAGGTACTAGATACAATTTACTTGACCCTTTCAAAATAATAATTATAAATAAAATTTAAAAAAATTTAAGACCTGAAATTCGAGGCCCTAAGCCTGCGCTTCTTGCGAAAATCTGACACTGGATAACTATATTTTAATGTCTGTTATTGTGGTATGTATTAAAATTGCAAATTGCTAATGCATTTATAAAGCTTTATTATCCTTTTTGCACTCATGTGAATGATACACATATATTATTGTTTTAACAATAGCATTTTCTCTTCAACAAATTCAGAAGTCAAACAACAAAAATCAGCGTTATATTTTCAAATTTTCACAGGACTAGTTTCGATGGTTTTACCGAACCACCATCCTCAGTTGTAAAAACGCAAATGAATGAGATAGGATTTTTGTTGTTTGATTTCTGAATTAGTATTTGTTCAGCGTGTTATTGTGTATTAATTTTCTCTTCTATTTAGCTAAACTGGATAACGTGTAATTTAAAATTCACTTGGATTGATCAAGTTTTCAAAGGAATACTGAATTCTAGATATATTCAAAAATTAATCTTATTTTGATCTTAAAAAATCTTTTTGTAATGAAGACTTGTCAGATTCTCTATTTTAAAGCAGCGTGTAAATAATTTGTATTTATCATCGGCCAAAATTGAGTATAAATACTCGAGTGAATAATTTTTAAATGAATACTGATGTTTAAAAATATTCAGCAATTTCTCTTGTGTGTTTCAATCGTCAAAACTCCTTTTATAATGCAAAATCAATAAAAAAATCCTTTCATAATGCGAAATCAATCAAAAAAATCCTTTCATAATCTTTTCATTCTCAGATTTGCTTTAATATAAGATATGAATAATTTATATGAAAAGCATTTATCACCAGCCAAAAATAAAATGCATACTCTATTAAAGGACTTCTTTATCAAATACGTTTGCTGTTTGTATCGGTGTAGTTGTTGTAGCGAAGTCCAATACTGTGAATCCAATCAAACTATCAAAACAAAACAATCGTTGTTAAATTGGTTTTAATTATGTTTTATATTATTATAATAATTCAGAATGTTGTTTTATTTTAATGCAGTGATATTCACACACTCACATACAAGTTAGGGTTTTCGTTTCCTTGCATTTAATTATGTCAAGGTAAGAAATATTACTAGTAAGGAAGGATACAGACCTACAACACTTCATGCATTTAATTTAATTGCTAATAAGAACATGCAAATTTGTTAAAAGCGCCATACACATTCACTTCACAGGTAATTTCTGATTATATACCTCTTTAACAACAAAAGGAATATTAAAAAGTTTTAGAAATTTTAATAAACACTATTTTTTAACATAAGTTTAACACAAGCTTTTCAGTGGCTAACTAATTAAAAACTATTAAAAAGAGATAGTTTTGTTATGGGTTCTTTTGCTGGTAGCACAGACATTTGCATTCAGCATTTAATACATATTAAGAAAAACCTTTAATTTATTTTTGCAAGTTTATTAATTTGAATTTAACATTTTGTAGTTACCTGTACAATATTTAAAGATAGCATAAATATAATTTGATAAAAATAATGACTTTTGTATTTTTCTGCTGTTTTGGAGAAGATGCAGATTGTGCCTCTACGTATGTCTGTCAGCGTAAGTGAGCAAAGTACAGTGTGTAATTAACGTATGTAATATTTCTCGATTTCTTGATAAAATATGAACACGAAGAAAATTTTAAAATGCTGACTAACTGAAAAAAACTAAGGAACTGATATATTTCGATGGGAGAGGTCAGGTTTATGAGTACTTTATGTAAAAAGTCTCGGATTTATTTTTGAATTTTTCAAATTTGTCTTCATGGGTTTTGCACTAAACATTGAAATACAGACTCCAAATTTTTCCGGAATATGTAAATTTTTCTCTAATTTAACACTTGCTTGTTACAAAATAAATAACATCAAAATATTCCTTGAAATAAAATAATTCAGTCCAACAGTTTTAAATAGTAACTCGCATAATAATTTGGACACATAAAAGTTTTGTTGAGGTTCTGTGGAAGGTGACTTTGTTTTGGTCACATTTTTTGTTTTAAATGAAAATACATCGCAAGAATTGTTGTCTGTACTAGGTAAATTTTAAACTTGTTTAAAAAAATGTATTAATAGGTTCTATATCTGATGTCAATATGGTATGACACTAGAAATTAACAAGTTCTATTCGAAATTTAATTATTCATGTTATTAAAAATTATTAAAGTATTCAATAAATCTTGATGCAAAGCATTTAGTAACTACCTTTAATGTTTTAAAACGATGCAAACTGCATGAACTGTCAAAATGTACTGAAGGCTGATCTCATATCAAGCTAACAGAAAGGAAGGAATTGGAGATCTCTTTTATGAAAAATCAAACAAGACCCCAGAACTAGTAGTTAAAACTTGCAGCGGGTTTAGAAGAATGCTTTGCCATAAGAGTTGTAAGGATTGTATTGCCAGAGCATAGTTTTAGAATCACGTCTGAATACATATTGAGGAAGAGCGGTTTTTAACGGCGAAGTTCTTCGGCCTTAGTGAGAGAAATACCACTGTATTCTCGCTGCACGCGTCCGCCTTTTTAGGTTACTCTCTCGTAAGCTATTATCACGCTCGGCCGTACTTTAGGCCCTTGATATCTTTGCAGTCTATTAACGTTAAAGGGCCAACTCTGTCAGAATTTTGATAGCTTCGGCTGTATCTCTTTTTTTTAGTTAAGATTAGTTTAATTCTTAGTCTCTTAAGTTCAAGCCTAAGTATCGGCTTTTTTGTACACTCCAAGAAGGAGTTTTGTTAAACTTTAGTTTGAATAATAAAGGGTTATCTTACCCTTCTATCTTCTTGTTTCCTGTCACACGAACTCAAGCTATTATTCGCTTATCAGTTCTTAAGATTCTTCACTTCCAACAGTAACTTAGAATTACACAGTGAGGAACTCTATAGAGTAAACCCCGAAACTATTAGAATAGTCATTACAACATTTGACATAGCTGGTGTTCAGTAAGCAGAAAATGTTTCGTCACAAGAAAACAAGTAAATACGGTCGACGTTCACAGTAAGTCTATAGTAAGTAAACTTTTATAGGCATTTACGAATTATTGCAACCATGTTAGCAGAAATCGCCAAAGTTCCAGAATATGCCAACTATGGCAACCACGAGAATAACAGCTCTTCAGGCAATCATACGCGGAACATTTCTTCAGTTTTAACCTCTTACTGCACTCAATAGAGTAATTCAGATACACCTAACTAAATT